AAGAGGCAGAATCTGGTAGTCTTTTTTAAAACACATATGCAGGTGTTACATATGGTTAATATGCAGTAAGTATACACATGTTTCATATAAATATGAGTCTATAACTTAATTATTTCTATAGCCCACAAATTAAATATTTCAGTTACATTAAAAAATTTTAATTTTAATTTTATGTACTGTATAATAAATAAATATGTACCCAATAAGTATAAAATCCAGAAAGCTACACAACATTGGGCAAACGTAAGTCTAACTAAATCCTAGTAATATTTATGTTTTCTTTTTACTGTAAAAACCACAGACATGTTTAGTAAATTATTTTTCCTAACTTGAAATGCAAATATAAATTGTAAATTTGTAAAAAAAATTGTGTAAACATTTTGTAAATAATACAATCATATGCAACTATTCATCTAAAAATGCAGCCAATGCACCGGCGTTGGTTTTTTTGTAAAGCCATTTAAAAATACTGCTTAATTAAAGTGAGAAAACAATCATGTGTCACAATAAGACGCCCCACAAATTTTTTCTGCCAAAAAAAGTAAAGAAAAGAAACTGTCTACCACAAGACAGAGAAGAACATCACAGGGAGAAACCCTGCAGGCCTGACAGCAGGAGGTGTATCGCTCCTTCTGCACCTGGAGACAGTGTTCACACTGCATCCTCACGCTGCTGCAGGATTGCTCTCCCCCGCTTCAGGACACCTACACCAGGAGATGCCCGACTAGAGCAGCGCAGATAAGGACCCGTCCCATCCTGGCACCATCATCCATAAGTGACTTGAGACAGGACTCTCTTCCAGACACTCTAAACCCACCGGCACAATGTACATTTCAAATTCCTTTCATTTTAAATATGTTTATATTTTCTATTCTGTAAAATAGTCAGATTGTCTATTCTTATTTAATTCACTTAATGTACAGAATTCACCTGCTCACTGCATACATGCTACTACTGCACATTCACCTAATGTATATATTATATATACAATGTTCTTCCTATACCCCCCCCCCCAAATAAAGAACCTTGCACCTTGAACCTTGAACCTCACTGATACACAAAATAAAACGACTACACAACACACTAACTAACACACCAACTGTACGCTAAACGTCACAAATCTCGAACATCTCAAAACTCTCACTCGATCACTCGCTCTGTCTCGCTGCCGTTTACATCACCTGGGCTGAGGCAGTCCAAAAATCCCACTTTGTTCAATCAAATGTTTTTCGGATATTCTGCCACCCCAACCATTTGATATAAAGGAAACTCTCCCTGGTGTGACACCAGTTTAATGTTTCATTGTATAACAATGTTTGCAATCAGAGTATGTTTCTGACCTCACTTTCAGGTCTTTAGGTTTTCAGTGAAGTATTCAAAGCAGTCAATAATACAGGCACATCTGCGAAGAACATCTCAATAACAAACAGGAAAGAAAGGGAAAAGTCATTGAACTAAGATTAAGTGATAGATAGCTCTTCTCTATACAGTGATATTTGTTCCTGTGTAAGGGACACTCCAAGCTTTGACCTGCCAGCGTCTTTGCTTTAGTGAGAAAAAGAACCCATGTTGTTCATCAAAGGGAGTGAAGCAGCCAGCACATTTGATTTCTGGTAATTAGATGTTGTAAACTAAAACTTGAGAGAACAACAGAAGCTCATATAACCCATCGTAAATAAGGAAAAATTCCAAAAATTAATGAGCTCCTAATTACTGGCAGTGTTTACATGTATGTGCAAATAATCCTATTGTTATTATTATATAAAGAGATTTTATCAAAGATGAATTCACCAGCTGTCCAGCTTGTAATGTAAATAAGGAACAGGAGAGATAAGATGAACAGAACTAGCTGACACAAGCTCGCTCTCTTGTTCTGGTGCTTCTGTCATCACTGTTAGAATTAAAACAATCTATCAGGTTTAAACAACAACATGTCAGGGAAATAAATAAGGAACTCACACACACACACACACACACACACACACACACACACACACACACACACACACACACACAATTTTTAATCTTTGCAACCATCATACTTTACTCATCTTACCTGTTTTGTTTATAGAGGAAGAACCGTTGTGCTGAACTGATCAAGAATGACAACATGATGAGGTGGTGTGTTTGAAATGCTCTCTATACTCTGTTGTCCTTTCACTTTCTTTCAGCTTTCATTTTCACTAAAGTCTTTTTCTGGATCACTTTATAGGAATAGGGGCCCACTGGTTATTTTTGTGAGTGAAAGCACTCAATAAACCACAAAAAATCATATTGTAAGGTTTCTTAATATCACTTTAGTAAGACTTCCCAATAACCATCATAAATGAATTGTAAATTATAGCACACTGTTGAAAAGAAATAGGAACTCCTAATTGTTACTACAGGGATATGAATCTGAGGAGCACTGCTTACAAAAGTACCACTAGTGAGCATGTTTGATGTCCATGTCTCTGACAAAACTATATGAAAAGTATTCTATGAGGATGGCATGAAGTCCATCAGTGTGTTCACAGACCAGTGACCAGCAGTGAGAACACCTGAACCTGCTGTTATCTTTGAAGAGAAAGGCACAAAAAGCAGGTCTGACAAGTTTTGGATCCCATCTTTGATGCAACCATCTGTTTGGTATCATATTTGTGAAAGTAATTAGGAGGAACTGACTGATTGCGCTACAAAAATCTGCACGCTACTCTTATCTGAATCTTATTCCACTAACTTCTTCAAGTATGTTTTAAAACAAACAAAGATAACAACATGAATGTGTACAAAACATAGTACTATTGTATTGTGCACATTAAATTATGCATCTAATGTCAGTGTCACTGATTATTTATATAATATGAAAGGGAGCAAATAATATACACAGTGTTTTTATAGCATGTCATGCAGAATTACACATTATTTTTTTACTCTTTGTAGTTTTGCCTCACTGCACCACAACAGTTAACTAAACAATCAAGATCTGAAGTGCAGAATATTACTTTAATTTAGCTGAAGTATTGCAGTAACTGTTAATTACAGCAGTCTTTACACACAGTCAACCAGTTTCAGCAGCTCACTAACAATAAGTTTTGTTGACTCTTAGTTGAAGTACATAATGTTTGTACATTATTGTATATTTTATGTCTACTTATATGAGTTTTTGTAGCAGAAAAATTAATCATTTGTACATCATATATATTTATAATGGTAAATGGCCTGTATTTGTATAGCGCTTTACTTAGTCCCCAAAGTGCTTTAAACTACATTCAGTCATCCACCCATTCACACACTGGTGATGGTAAGCTACATTGTAGCCACAGCTGCCCTGGGGCGCACTGACAGAGGCGAGGCTGCCGGACACTGGCGCCACAGGCCCTCTGCCACCGTAGGCAACGGGTGAAGTGTCTTGCCCAAGGACACAACGACCGAGACTGTCGGAGCCAGGGCTCGAACCGGCAACCTTCCGATTACAAGAAAGAAACTGCCAACTCTTGAGCCACAATCGCCCCATAATAACAGAGCAGCTAATAGAACTATAACAATTATTATTATGATCATATGAAATTTTATGTATTAGTAAATATTTGTTTATGAATTTTGCTAGTTTTCTTTTCCAGGATGTCCAGGATTTTCCAGGATTTACAAGTCAAATAAGATGTGGTGTTTTTTTGTGGTCTGTAATGTGATTGAGTATAACACTGCACTAAACTCACCTTTTAACACCAGTATAAAGCATCCACACAAAAACGCACACACACACTAGAGAACAATCAGCAACTGCTTCTGTCTTTAATTACAAATGTCACAATTTGCAGAAACACCCAATAATACCAGTTTTATCATTAACTGTCAGATTTAATATGATTTCTAAAGAGACAAATCTCAGTTTAGTGTTTTGTGTTTGCGTTAGACCTGATATAACAAAGACAGTGAAAAAGTGTGACAAAACGATTCTTGTCAGAGTTTACAAGTCAAGTGTTCAGTTAGCTTTGATTTAGAAGCAGCACAGTATGAAAGAGAAGTTTTTCACATACAGAACATTTAATACCAGAGACAGACGCTGACTAACATGCTACAGTTCATCTTTATTATTTTCTAGTTGTGTTAGTGTTGCCATCACACTGCGTAGTTTCTCTTCATTGTCATTGATTTCTGCAGCTGTTGTCTCAAAGTACTTATTCATGTACTCCTTGCTGGCTCCAATGAAAGTCTTTAGGTCATCCATTAAATCCAACACTGGTTAAGCAGTGATGTAAAACGTTTCATTGACTTTATAAGTTCGAACATAGGATCCATGAGACGTTTAACATCATCAAGAATAACTGGAACGTAGGCTCTGTCTAAATTATTTTCAGCCTGGAAGACAAAAATACACCAAATTTATGTAACAAAATATACAAAAATAAGTAACTATGTGCAAAAAGACTTGTATAATGGAAAATTATATTTGGTTTTAGTTGTTATAGCAATACATATTTTTCTGTTAGCAGTCTGTCAATATCCATGTCCACAACATCGTTGACAGACTCACCTTCCTTCTCGCTGTTTCCTTTTGTAAAGTTTCAACGTTTCCCTTCAACTCCTCCTGCAAAACCAGAAAGAACGTCAACAAACATGCCGTGAAACATGTAACGGTGACAAAATGAGCATTTCAAAAGTAAAGAGGAAAGCTTAACCATTAATCGGTCTGTAAAAGTGTTTAATTAGAAATTAAATTCTCTATTAAAACAACAACAAAAAAGAAAATTAATAACCAGTTTACCAGTTCATCCTTGTTTATCAGGGAACTTGAAAGATGGAGCACACACAGCAGAGTCAAAATCATAACTAAGCCTTTGGCAGTTGTGACACCACTCATGGTCAACTGTGCTGCTGCCATCAAAGTTTCTGAAAAACATAAGTATAAAAAGTATAAAACAACAAGTATAAATAAGGATTTGTAAAGAAATGTACAAGTAGAGATGTTGCATGAAAATCTGCCTGCAATAATTTTTCATGGTACAATGTTCTTACCTGCCAGTGACAAACGAACTGATGAATGCTGACATGAAGGACTGACACACAAACTCACACACAGAGTGGCCCCTCCTCTATGACACGGCTCAGCTGTGGGTGGGTCAAAGTACTTCTTTCATTTCAATTCCAAAAAGTCCCGTTCTGCTGTGGGTTCATACTAGCTGTCTGTCATCCTGGTAACAGGGTAAGCCTTGTCACTGTGAAACCTTAAACACCTAGTTAAAAATGTAATAAAGTAAATATTTGTCAAATACAGACAGCTTTTATTTCATTATATAGTGACATGTAAATGGTTTAAAGCAGCTCCACATTTTTAACATTTGTATCTGTGAGTGTATGTTCAGACATTCAGACTGCAGACATTTCTGCATGTCTTGATCACATTAAAAGATCTGTCTTAAAAAGATTGTTGCACATACTTCCTATCGTTTTAGGTAAAAACATCTTCAGCAAATACAGTTTGAATACTCACTGTCACTAATGAGCATTGAGAATCAGAGTAACGTGAAGATCAACAACTGCTTTTCACAGGGACAGCATCAGATATAAGGATAAGGATAACTCTTTATTGTCATCGCACAGTTATAATTTGTACAATAGTACAGCAAAAGTGGAAACTGTCCCACGTCGGCACTAAGCAACTAAACACAACACAACACAGGAGAGTATTTATTGGATTTTTAAAAAGTGAGAAATGGTATGAACACAAAAGGTATGATATTGTTATTGTTAACGTATCTTTATTTCAGACATATACAGCAAACCAATAGATACAAGTACACATGCTTGCATTTACATGTACAAATACATATGTAAATACACACAATAAATGTATGTGCTCAGACAAAACAACAACAAAAAAGAAACTAAATAAAATAGAATCTAAATGACATGAAATTACAATTATTAAGTCTGAAATGGAGTAGGAAGAAGTATGTACATACTTATTAATCCCTATCCCATGCACAACATTCTGTTAAATCCCACTATTCATTGTTTAATTGCTTTAAGAGTCTTTGGATTTAATTTTCCCCTCAATTCATCTTCTGTACATTTCCTGGTAACATATTGTATCTGGCTTTGTACATATTTTTTCGCAGTTTTATATTTTATAAAATCCATAAACTTCTGAATTTTTAATTTCAAGTACAAATTCAAGAAAAGTTAGGAAGCAAGGTAAGACTGTCATCGTCTCCATTGTAAGTGGGCGGGGGAGGAAGCTACAGTTAGTACAAGAAGCATCAGCTCTGATTTATTTTAACTTTAGGGCTTGACGAAGAAAGCTCAAGAAAAAAATCTTCACATGATACAGATACATACAAATTTCATACAAATGTATAATGTTTAAATATATATTCGAACATTAATGAATTATTGGTCAATATCAGTAAAGCAAAAGACATTCTCTGTTTACTGCAACATTGTGTCACATTAATTTAGTAAAGTTCCAAATGAATAACTTCATGGGGATATAAGCTCCTTGTCGCACCCAGCTCTCTATTTTTGCAGCAAACTCATCTTCTTGTTTATTAAAGTTCTTAAATTCTTCAACATGTGCGAACAGATGTTAACGATTTCCTTCAGTGGTTTGGAATCAGGCAATAATCTCTTCACCATTTCCAGCTGATGAGCGTATTTCTCCAACATTAGCATTTACCAGTGGCTCCTTCTTATTCAGTGAACTTGAGAGATCAAACAGTTTTGTGATTGTTTCCTTTCTATACTTGTTTTCTGCCTGACGGGGGGGAAAAATAGCACATTTAAATTTACTAGATTATTCTGCATCCTGTACACTGCAGTTACTATACTTTCAGTATATCACTATAGACAGTTCAATGTAAAATGCACTCATTAAGTAAACACACAGCAGATTTTACAAACTAACTTGGAGCCTAAGCAACCCACCTTCCATCTTTCTGCTTCTTTTATCGCCATCTTCATGTACTCAAGCATCTATAGTTCATTGCAAATAAAGGAAAAAAAATAACAGCAGTTAATGAGCTTGTAACTGTACATGTACAAAGAAACGTGTAATTGTTGTATCATAAAAGGGAATTCAGCAAGAATGAATTCACCAGTTGGTCCTCGGGATACAGGGAAGTTGAGACTGAAATGAGGCACAGCAGAGATAAGATGAGAAATAAGCCTCTGGCACCAGCCGGTCCCCTGGTTCTGGAAAAATCTGCTGCTGCCATCGCTTGTAAAAGTGGAACAAGTGCTCAAATTGAGAAAAAGTTGATAAAACAAAGAAATTTGGAACAATAGATTGTTAAAAATGTAATATATATTATTTTTTTTACCTGCTGTGTGAATCTAGGAAAAGCTGCTGCCGTACAGGCAAAGACTGAAAACGTAATGAGATAACATGCTGCAAACGCTTTGTATACGATGTGACTTAACTCAACCCACGTCTCACGTGTGAGCAGCCCTTTCACTTTTGTTTTCAACAAAGCTTTTGTGTTTGTCTCGTCTGCTTTATAGGAATAGAAGCCCATCATTTATTGTTATGACATACCATGACAAAACACGTTTTTCCATTGAGCTTTTAGGATGACACTTCATAATACTTATCATAAGTGGATTGTGAATTATTTTATATAATTTTTTATTAGTGTTTAATAAGTACTAGAAAAGTT